AAAAAAAAAAAAAAAAAAAAAGAAAAAAAAAAGAAAAAAAGGAGCCCGCAGTCGTACGGAGAAAAAAATTCGACAGCGGCGGGAGGGAAAGAGTTGTGGGTCATGAATTTTTCATAAACGGCGCGGCGTTCCCTCCTGGAAAAAGAGGCAGTTTTACCGGTGCTTTCGACCGATCGCCGCCAAATATATTGCACGAGGCGCACGTAAAAGCGGCATTTTCCCTCGAGTCCGAGACGATCGCGCCTCGCTCGAGAGAGGCGGAGAGACGAAAGCGAACTCGAAAGACTAATGGTGCAAAGAGGCCCGTAATTGCATTTTATTGCTCGTAATGGTCATAACGGGAAGGCGGGTCGAAGGGAAAGTGTGCATAAACGTCCGGGGCGTCCGGACGCAAACGCGTGGGGACTCGGAACGGCCGAATGCCATGTGACTGCCCCGCGGCCAAATTCCCCCCCGAGATTCCCCCTTGAGATTCCCTCCGAGATTCCCCCTTGAGATTCCCTCCGGGATTCGTTTCCCGAATCCGACGCCTTTCCGCATCGTGCGTGGCTTTTTTTATGCAGGGCAAGAGGATGATGGAAGTGCCGGTAAGCGGCTCTTTTGTTCGTGAGGATTTCCGGGGTGATGCGTATCCATTCGAACAAGAATTTCCCAAACGAAGAAAAAAAATTCTCAAAAGAAAAAAAAAAAAAACCAAGGAAGAGAAAACGAGGGAAAGGTGGGGGACGGAGGAACCGCAGCTGTCGCGGAAAAGTACGGTGTTACCCGAGAAGCGCTTATCACTGCTCATTACAAAGCAATTAAGCTCCCGACAAATTATGTTGTTTCTCTCGACGACGACCTCGTCAACACGACACACCTTTCCCTTCTCGCCCGACGACGGCATTTCTCGCCCTCGCGAATCCCAAGAACACCTTCGGGGCAGGATCACCGGCTCTCGTCCGGTCCAGTCACAAGCCGATGAGACAACCCTCTCACCCCGCGATGAGACAACCCTCTCACCCCGCGATGAGACGGCTTGCCGTTCCTCGACGGTAGAATTCTCGGCGTGGGAAAAAAGGAAACGCTGCGGCGGTTCGCGCAACCGTTACGCACTCGCATAAAAGCGACACAAAAGTCCAGAGGGAGAAGCGGAGCACGCATTCACGAGAGAAAATGCAAGTCGGAGAGTCTGTCCCGAAGCAGAGCGACGAACTTTCGCTGCCTCGCGAGCAACAGTTTCTTCACGAACGCTCTCGGAAGGAACGGAACGTCGAGTTCCATCATCGGAACGAGTCGAAACAGCGTCTTCTTCCCGTCTTCTCCGTGCGGCGAAAAGGCGAATCCTCCTCCCGGATCCACTCGACCTCTGAAACGGGAAATCTCTCCGTTTTCTCTCGGAAATCCTCGCAGACGCAAAAAAAAAAAAACGGACGCACCTGACGACGCCCTCCTCCGGCGCCTCCTCCGGCGCCTCCACCCCGACCACCGCCCAATACCGCGCCTCCCCGACCCGTTCGTGGCACTCCACCGCCACGAAGTCCCGGCTGGCCACGAGCCCCAGGGCCCGGGGCCACGTCACGGCGCGGAACACTCGGCAACTCTCGCTCGCGTTCTGTCAAACACCGTTCGTTGACTCCGGTGCCGTTCAAATATTTAAACGCTCTCGGGTCGAGGCGTTCCGTCGATTCGCTCTCGAGCACCCGCGAAAGTGTTAACAGCCACTTTCGGTACGTCAAAAAGAATCATCGGTACTTAAAACCGTCGACGCTTCTCCAAACTCCAAGTATTAATTGAGATTGAGTATTAATTAACTGTCACCGATTATCGCGCTTACGTGATTCGGACCTCGGAAAAATCGTGAGCCTTTTTTTTTTTTTTTAATCTTCAGAAATTCCAGATTTGAAGAATCAGTCGAGCGATCGTGAAGTACTTCAACGATAGCTCTATTTTTTTTTTGCATTTAATTGGCATTTAATTGGCATTGGCACTCTTTGGGGTTCCCGTGCGTAACCACCTCTGGCTGACATGTTTAGTGCTCATCACATGGCGGTTAAACGTGGTAACCGCCGGTTTTTGCTTCCTTCGCTTCCTTTTTACGCTTGATGAAATCAGCGACGAATAAAAAGTCGCATGCTGCATTTTCCGTTTCGAAGACTGGAAGAACTCATACAGCTAAATTAAGCAATCTTCGCCCGGCTTAAGAAAACTTCGGCTTAAGGACGGGCTGCAAGGATTACATTCATAGCTGAATTCAGCAATTGAAACAACAATTAATAATTATTTGTGGGCCAAACGACACGATTAGTTTTAAAATTTTACTGAAAAAAAATGGAAAGTTAATGCATTATCATTAAGCAATTACGTGATTATTATTTACATTATTGGTATTTTTAATTTGAGTGAGTCTTCAAATGTACTTAGTATCTGGTATTTAAATTACAGGCAATCTTCATAATTATTTATTGTAATTATTGTAATTAGCAGAGCGATTGCCCTCAATTGCACTCAGGACGGTACCAAATTAATTTTAATCGTTATTTGTTAAATTCTACAAAAAATATCGTTTCTCCACATTTTTTCGTATTTTTTCGTGGAAAATTCTCGCGTTCGGCAGTTCATGCCAAGGAATCATTAATGTAAAATTATGGGTTCGGTCCATGAATCTCTCCAAATTATGAGCAGTTAAGCATAAAACAGGGCCGTTTACATTCCTGAGCACGTATTAACGTGTGCAAGGGCACCAGAAATGTCAAAAGTCAAAGAAATTAAGAAAAAAAGACCATTAGATGTTGCATCGAGCGTGACCTCGGGCAAAAGCGGGCCTGTCGCGTATTAAAAACTGAAAAAAAAAATGTTCGGAGCGGTGCTTCCTGTCGTTACGGACGCGGTTGATCTCGTTATGGCGTTTGTAACGCCGAGATGGTGTAACGAATGATTAAAAAAAATACGAAGTGAAAATTGAAGGTTCCTTATCACTTTTCGGAATTTTCGAACTTCAGGATTTCACGTCGGCTTCCCTGGCCAGAATTAAACTTTTCTCTTATTACCCTCTTCACCCCCACAGCAATCGAACGACCCTTCGAGTCCCAAAGGCCCCCCACAGAGACAGACCAACCCCACAGAGGTTCAAACAAGCCCAACTAACTCTAAAAAAAAAAAAAAAGTAATCCGGACTCACCCGCAAGATCCGAGTGCTGAGGATATCCGGATCCCATTCGGGCGCATCGTTCACGGTCATCCAGCTCTGCCTAAACGCCCATTCGCAGTCGTAATCCAGCACGGTCTGCAACGAACGGACGATGACACTCCTCGTCCCTCCTCTCCTTCCCCTCCCCCTCCCCCACCTTTACTCTTCCTCGCACAAAATTTCTTCCAAAACCTACCTCATGTTGCTTGCTATGAGTTTAAGAGAATTCCCAAATGAGTGTTTCCTGTCGCTCTTTCATGGGCCTTTTCCTTCTCCACGTCTTCCAACCGCCGATGTGGCAAGGGTTTGCACACGTGAATGACCTCCGTAAGATTCTGGGTTCCACTTCTGGAGGATGTCGGTGTCATCGAGCCCATAACCGATTCCGGGGATCAAAACCGGGGATAAACACTAACCCATGATGGTACGTCTGCGTTTACCCATTCTCTTTCGAATGGGGATTTAGACGTACGGAACTTCGAGAAAATTCCTTTTTGGTATGCGTCGCATGGCCTCGTATACCCTCAAACACACCACTGTTGAAAAGTAAGAGTAAAAAAACGTGCAAGATGCTCGAAAAAAAAAGCCGAGAATGGAAGCAGCTCGGAGCGAAGCCCATCACAGGACCCCCCAAAACGTATCGCACCCGGTATCCGACGCGAATCACAACGGATGAATGTTCCTCGAAGGCAAGGCGGCCTTGGAGATGCTGAAGGCGAATCTGGAACGGGACGATTGGATGTTCGTGGAGGACTACGAAGGCATCGCTCTGCATCGTCGGTACGACGCCGGATCGAAGCAGGACATTTACAGACTTCAGGACATTTGGGAATTCTCTTAAACTCATAGCAAGCAACATGAGGTAGGTTTTGGAAGAAATTTTGTGCGAGGAAGAGTAAAGGTGGGGGGGGAGGGGGGGGGGAGGGGAAGGAGAGGACAATGCTCCCCCTGTCCCTCCGTTATGAAGAATAACCTTCACGTGCCGCAATTCCTATAATTCGGTATTTGATATTCTAGCACTTAGATCCTTGTTGGGACAGCACCCAAATCAAACCTGACAAATATACCTCTGCCATCATGAAGCAACTCTTCATAATTCGCGTTTCCCCAGGCAGCTCCTTCAAAGATTCCTGAACCCTTCGCGAGTTTTGATGAATTTTTGCGTTTTCTCGGCTTCGAACGAGACGATGTTCTGGTGCAGAAAGCCCTGCTGACTTCCGCTCACGTTGGGAGCGTCCCGATCGGATAATTGAAGTCACCAATTAGCGACGCCAATTAAGAGACATGCTCTCATTCGAGTGTCTCCATTGTCACGTCTCCAATTTAAATATTTGTTCCTCTATCCCCGTCCTAGTCGGTACTTCCCCGCAGTCGGTACTTCCCCGCAGTCGGTACTTCCCCGCAGTCGGTGCTGCCCCGCAGTCGGTGCTGCCCCGCAGTCGGTGCTGCCCCGCAGTCGGTGCTGCCCCGCAGTCGGTGCTGCCCCGCAGTCGGTGCTGCCCCGCAGTCGGTGCTGCCCCGCAGTCGGCACGACTCGAACTGACTGCTGAGACGAGCAAGCACGGAATCATCCGCAGCAATTTTTCTCGTTCCGAATTCTTTAGAGGCCGGTCGTAGGCCAGCGTTATTTCTTCCATTAAAAAAATTCTTTTGATACAGAAATCCAGGCGAATGCGGTAAGCAGGAGAAGTCGTGATGTCGTTTTAACGACCGTCGCCACATTCACCCGGGATCTGCCCAGAAGCAGGTCCTCGATCCCCCGAGACGGCCCCACCTCGACGATCCCGAAAGAACGAAGACCCGAAACCCGAAAGGGCATGGGGCCGGGCGGGGAGCACGCTTCCGTCCTTTCCCCCTTGCTCGTTAGGGTTTTCTATCACTATAATCTGGCCGCGCGAGGGCAGGCCGATCAGAGGACGGCGTGAATTCGTCGGAACGACTTCATCTGCTCGCAAAGGACCGAGTCCGATCGACGGACCGAGTCCCATCGACGGACCGAGGCGTGAGACCCCGAGACGGCCTTTCGCGACGGCGTCACGCTTCTCCGGCGTATCGACCGGGGAGCAGAAATTAAGCGACGCCGGCTGGGGAATCCGGCCATCCGGTCATCCGGCTATCCGGCTCATCTGCGCCGTCAGCGTGTCATCGTGTGCACGAGCCTCTGATTTCCGTCACGTTGAGGTGACGCAAAAACGAACGACCGTTACTAAAAGAGTTCCGCGTGTTTCGAGTGCATTTTGATTCGCTGACTGGAAACGCTGATTCTCACACCAATGGACCGATCTATCCTACGTGCGAGACGAAAGGAGAGAAGTCTTTTGCGACGACCCCACGACACTTGAGAAAAAGCATCCGCTCACCTGCCTCTTCCTCGCGACCCGCGATCTCCAGAAAGATGAGGTCTCTCAGGAACAGGACGGTCGTGAGAGCAAAGTCCCCCGCAAGGACGCCGCTCCTCACCGCAGTCGCCACCATCCTCGATCGAATCCACGGAGGCACTTGTAGAAGGAGGCCTTCTGGCAAGGAGGCACTCGGGGAAGGAAGGGTGGAGGCGCGACGGCCGAGGAGGAAAGAGAGTCATGTGATTTCGGTTGTTGCATCTCGAAGCGCTTGCATGATGCATCGGGAATCGCTTGACTTTCGTCCTTTTACGGCCGAGGCCACGGATTCGGAGAAAAAAATCCTCGTGGCCACCGGAAATCTCCCATCTCGTCCGCAGTGGGTGATTGAAATGGGTGGAATCCCCTCGTCCGGGACTGGAGGCAATAATTAGCGGTGAACTCGTGGCATGCGATGAATGAGAGCGGTCGGGAGCAAATCTGGACTCATGCGGTCAAAAGAGCAAGGAGAATCGGAGACAAATTTTCCTTCGAGGGCCTCGGGGAGGTGCCAAAGGGTCGGCCTCGGCCATTATCCCCTAATGGCGTTTCCTCCCCTATATACGTCCAGCTTCTTCCACACAGAAGAACCTTCGCTCGGGAGGCGTGGCTTCCCCTTATTGCATTCATCCCCCCTTATTGCATTCATCCCCCCCCATTCATCGTCTATCCCCGGACGAGGGACGAGGCCGAACCTCGAACCCGCCACCGCATATCGCACTCGCAGGCGCCAGTCCGTCCGGCCGTGTACCTGCCGCGTACCGGCCGCGTACCGGCCGCGTACCGGCCGCGTACCGGCCGCGTACCGGCCGCGTACCTGCCGCGTACCTGCCGCGTACCTGCCATGTACCTGCCGGGTACCTGCACGGTACTGCATGTATTTCTCGATCTCTCTCGCTCTGGACTCGGGAGGCGAGTCCTCGGTCGTTCCTCGAAGGGGCTTCTCGACGCTATTCGAGATGGGTTCGTGTCCAATAAAAAGGAATTATATGCTGGAAGGCAGCATTGGGTAATCGCAAGTCATAAATAACTTACCTCCTCACGGTAAATTCGAGGCAACTTCTGATCCAAGTTCGTTACTTTCGGGTTCGGTTACTTGTAACCTGATCGCTTCCAAAAGTGGCTCGAATGACTTTATGCGGATAAAGCTATGACTTGCTGCTTTCCACGGATTTTCTTAGGATATTCCGGATTAGGATAGGATTTTCCGCCTTTGAGGCAAGATTCACTTGAAAACCGTTCGTGCGGCACGGAATTTTTTTCGAGGGAACTCCAGTAAAAAAAAAAAAAACGTTTTGCTCGACTTTACTCGTTGACGCAATAGTAACTCCAGTTTCATACGATCGGTCTTCGCTATTCCGCTCCAAAGTAACCCGTAATTTCAGTCAAAGTAATTCGAAGCATTCTCCGATGCTTGTTGCACTCCCGGCAAGGCGCAGCTCGAGCGAGTTCATATTTCATCGAGGAAATTGCAGCGTAAGAGTAATACGGAATCCCTTGGGCACGGCTGGAATTATGGAACGGGGCCAGACCGGGCCAGACCGGACCAGACCGGGCCAGACGCGGAGATGCTTCCTTCCCTTCGGGGCTTCTCGTCTTATCGCTCCGAACATCTCGTACGTCTCTTTCTTATATAAGACTCTCGGTAATATTGCGTCACGTGGTTCTTTTTTTCATGCGTTATGTGCCGTGGCCCTGAAAGAGGGATTAGGTCGTCCCCATTTGAGAACGAAAACCGAGCCGAAGGACGCGCGTAAATTAATCGTGTCCGAGTGAAGAAACGAAAGAAATGTTCCTGCGATCATTTTCACGGGTGAAAATTGAAATACCGATCAGATACCGAGGAGTATTTTCTCGGTTATCACGAGGGGAGGAAAAATGTAAGACTCACGAGGCTAAGCTGAGCTCATTACGTAATGCGAGATACCTCATTAAACGAGGTGAGCCAGCCCGATCCGCGAAGGTCGATCGCGTGCGGATCCAGTCATAAAGCGATGCAGGTCATACCGATTTCGCGAGTCAACCGGTGATGTCACTCCGGTAGTGATTGAGATCCTGCTCGTTCCACGGAGCCAACAAAGGGAGGAATTCCTTTCTAAAATGCCGCTTCCGTGACGGAGAGGGAGCCTCGAAAATAACCCTCGGATCTATTGTATTACCCCCGTTTGGGGAAATGCGTCGCTGGAGGTCATTCGTTAGCTCCGAGTTGCGAAAGCTCATAAACTCGGGGAAGGCTTCGCTTTTTCGCGGGTCCCGTTCGCGGGTCCCGTTCGCGGGTCGCGGTGGGGATTTTCGTCTGAGGGCTCTGGAGTTCCCCGAGGGCGTTCGGTCGATAGTGTTTCATTTAAATGTTCCCGGATTCCTTGCAGATGTCACGAAACTGGACTTCGACGAGACCCGAAGCTATTAATATTTAGCCGAGGAAGTCTGAAGCGAAGAAGATCTCGGAGATCCCCGCCCACAAATGCAAAGGCCAGATTATTGGAATCCAAAGAGGCTTTCCTCTTCTCCTCCTTCGTGATTTTCGACTACCCTGGAGCTACTGTTACACTCACGATACCAGAAAATTTGAAACGTTTGAAACGGCCGAAAATACTTCGGAAACATGGCATCACCAAAGACAAAATATTGAAAGGTTGAGGCTGAAGTTGAGAATTCAGCGAAGAATCAACTTTAATTAAATGTCAAGCTATTCGTGAGTAACCGAATTTTCAGCATGTACTCACGATTCAGCGAAGTCGTTTGGAAGCCATTAAGAGCAAATTCGTTTCTCACATTTTTCTTCATCATAATCTTCATCTTCTTCATAATCTCAAAGTTGTTCCAACATGGAGTAATCTACGTCATTTCAACAGAAAATAGGTTCAACCAATCGACGCGAGATGGCGCCCAACTGCCGATTCGACGATTCTCACCTTGGCGCCTTAAAAAATACAGTCTCGCGTATTTTACGCGCAGCACCCGATCTTTTCCCACGTAAAATTTAAGGGAAGGCTTTGGAATTCCTAGACAGACAGAAGGATGCAACCGTACCGAAGGAGACTCCGAGTACTTCTGGCCACGGAGACATCCCGAATCTTCCTACCTCACTATATAAACCCTATATAATGCGTTAGGCGATCAGTTCCCTTCCGAGGACGAGAGAGCGTGTTAGCAGGGCTGCGTGGATGCGTCTGGGCCTTGTCTTGCACGAGCGGTAAAGTGTGGAGACGATGCCGTGGGATCGTCCTCAGATTTATCGCTCAAGGAGGGCCAGACACGATGTCCTTGATGGACGAGACGAGGTGTGTCGTTCGAGTGTGTAACTAGAAACCTAATCCCATACAGGAAGCTACAATCTCGAGAGGACCGTGGGATGACAGTACTCACCAGGATACTTTAAAGATCTATTCAATATTAGCGCGCTCAGGAAAAGGAGAAAGCGATGCCCAAAGGTTCACAATTCAACGTTGGTACAACGTGACACGAGAGCGTATTTTCAACGTTGAATTATTATACTTCAACGTTGCTCCAACATCGAGACAACATTGTTACGTTGAAAAATCAACCTTTGCTCGACGTCGATACATCGTTGCCGTGCCGCGACAGGAATTTTCTGCCATCTGCAGCAGGAATCCAGGAAAGAGCCGCTTCGTCCGGGTCACGTGACTCGGCTTTTTCCTCCTGCTCGTGTCCCGATCCAAAAATGCCGATGCCGGTGGGGAATATTTCCATTCTCGCAGATGAGTCCTCGAGATAAATCATTAATGGAGTTTCAGAGTCTTTAGTGGAATGCGTTGAACGACCCTCGCGTTTACAAGCGTCACGTTGAAAATGTGAAAAATCGTCATCAGAAGTCGAAAGGGAAACCATTTTATTTTAATTCCTTGCAAACGATATCACACGCAGTATTCATTAAAAAATATCCTAAACGACAGTTTGAAGGGTGTTCCAAGAACCACCCTATTGGCGGCGATTCTCGTGTTGTTGACACATTGGTACTTGATTTCATTCCACAGGATGGATGGGAGTTTTGCAAGTCGTAATCACCACGCCTGGACTCGAATTTCAACGAAAACCGAAAATAATTTAATGGCGGCATCAGATACAGAGCGTAGTCGAGATGCATCGGAACTCCTGCCAGGGGGTTTTATGTCCGAACCACTCCAGATCATAAAACAATCTGAAAACAATGTGTGCATTAGCCCCTGCGTCCATTGTCCTCGGAAACGCTAATTCTAGATCCTCGACTCATCCAACAACTGATACAATTCCCAACCTTACCTGTAAAATAAGTTATGATATTATGTGATCAATGACAAAGAATTACCCCTAATTGAAAATAGTTTTTTTTTTCTCGGACACCCTGTATTTAGCAGTTGGCATGCTGTATTAGCAAAGAGTCTGCCCACGGTGTCGGATGTCACATCCGGAGTAATATTTTTAGTATACAAAATGTATTTTAACTATAATATGAATGACGAATGGGTATATAAAGGCTGTAACAATTTGCTTTGGGTGGTGACTGAAAATTCCATAATCCAATGTCTTGCACTCTCTCTTACGTTATAGGTGTGCAAAGAAAAGTGTCAGACGTGACATTTCATGAACCTCAAGTTAAAGTCGCTTCCACTAATGTTCGCATATCGAGCGGATCCTAATACTTTAGTTTCATGTTCATGGATTGAATGAACGCCTGAAATTAGTGTAAGTCACTTAAGATGTCAAGGCTTGGGAACAGAATGTAAGCCTATTTTGCGACGGTGTCGGATGTGACATGTTCTATAAATGTATTTTGAAACGAGAAGTCAGTACATAAATACGAATTTTATTTTAAAGATGTCATTCAAACGTGAACAATTGACATCTACTCTTCACACCAGAGCTGATTTGAAACGATCAGTATGGATGGAAAGCCCATGCCGGCATCTGTTCCAGGTCCAATTCGGTCTCTCCAAATTTGCATTTTCATCACATTTTTCAGTATCATGAGATTGGAACGAATAATATATTAATACCATAATCATGACTAATTCTTTCATTTTCCAACGTAATATTCTCTTTAATTCATGTCCTCTGGAAGAAGAGATGATGAACTTCTGTGGCGAAAGTAATATTTGCATACTTAGGAAAATTTCCGGCTAAAATTCTTAGGACCACTCGGCGTGGACAGACCCAAAATCTGCGTCTCAAGTGATACTTACCACGAACACGGAAATAAAACCGCGGACTTTCGAGTCCACGATCACTTTGCCGTTTCCACTATGTGGGGGTAACGTAATGTACATAGTCCTCTAAATATTTGGACCGAGTAGTTTTGGTGTCCGGTTCGACGTTGCATGATTATGAGAAAAAGAAAACTACCTGGAGGAGAGCAATATGGAACGCAGATGTCCTTCCGACGGCAGATTACCATCTTGGCAGCTTACTCCAGACATTTTTCTTCTCGAGACGCACTGAAGGTCACCCAAACGCGTGACTCGGATCATTCATGACCATGCTGATTTGAAGTTTAGGAAAGACGGAAAAGTAGTCCAGTCTGCCGACCTCGCAGACTGGACAGAACCAGTGCTGTGCTTAAGGTCTTAAGTTCTACTGCCTCTGTGGAACTGGATTCGTCGTACGGCAACTGTGCATCTCTATGACGACGGTCCCGAAGTTTCTGGGTGAGTCGAGCAAATGCAGGTTGGACTTCTTTTAAAGAGGGTCGTACCGTATATTTATTATATCCAGTTCGGTGGGACGAAATGCTCATAATATTCGGTCCGGGGGCGACGACAACTTTATGCAAGAGCACAAACCTAGGCACAGATCTGCCATTCCACTGGCCTTATATTTTTAAAATCATCGCCCTCCGCCTACAATCACCATCAAACTTTAAAAAAAAGTTGCAATGAAGGAGCTGCCAATTTTACATTGTAGGCCTTCGTGAATAGTCCCGAAAAACTCGATAACGTCCATGTTTCATGTGGAGGATCCCAAATAAGGCATTTAAAGATAACGCCTGGCAACCCTGTCTTTGCAGTCACGAGCTCTCTCCCGTTGTCAATCCGTCATTCGTCATCCGTTATTTAAAAAATCTCAAGAATGTGATAAAACGATTTGTACAAAGATTGTTTTTAGTCATACCTAACTCCATCCCATTTCTCATTGTGAAAGTTTGGGTGACTGGAATACTTTTTCCAAAATGTATTTCCAAGCAGCGTACTTAATTTTCTGCATTTGTATGCATGCATGATAAATTTTATTTTCTAGACAAATTAAAGTCCATTTGAAATCCGTCATCCGCGAGGGCAGGAAAAGAGCTGGAAGTTTTAGTCGTTGACTAGTACCCCAACCCAGGCTGAAAGTTGCACACTCAGTTGGCCGGTTGCCAGGTTGCCAGGGAACTGCAGACAGATTGAAAGGAAAAAATGTGGGAAAGCGACAGACCGATCGCAATATCTGCCATTTTCCCATAGTACCAATGGGAATGGCATGAATATCTTCATATCTTAATGAATATCTTAACGGCGGACGGGGGACAAAACGTGTCACGCCGGTATTTCAAGGCAAAATGGATTCGCCACTCGCTTCAGATACATAAGAAACCACATGACTTCGAACTTTCCTTCTCCGTCCTTTTCCCCGTCTGCGCACATAGATGTATCACCGAATCGATGAGCCCGATGAATTTCTGCCTAACCAATCCGAAGTGACTCACGCTTCGTCGGTTTTGCCTCCACTCTAGGATGCAGACGGCTGCTGTGAGGAGCGGGGCGCTTGGGGGGAATTTCGCTCTTGCTACCATCGTTTTCCTTCAGGATCTCATTTTTATGGAGTCGGTGTGTCGTGATGAGGAGAAAGGTGAGCGGCTCGTGCTTTTTTTGACATAACTTCATCGCTTTCGTTTCGCATAAACCTAATCTAATATGGGGACGGTATGTCCATGAAGCATGAGGGAAAACAGAACGAAAGGAAAATGTTGGATGACAGCGTTCACGACAGAATTCTCCGAATCGACTGGGAGCCTCGCCCGGAGGATCTTCTGCGATGAGTCGCAGAAATTGGAATGTTTGCGGATACATCGGTCTTGTTTTACAGGCGAATGCTCTTATCTGTTCCCTCATCTATATTCCAGGTGTGTATCATGAAAGACTTCCGTGACTTTGAGACAGAGTGAGCCCGACTGATGAAATACGGGCAACTTTCTTAAATCGAGAAACCTTCGATGCGCAGCTACATCACGTCAGCGCCACTCTCTCAAAAATTTTTGGTTGCAGACCTATAGGTCTAGCAGATAATTTATCTGCAACGCTTCACCTATGAGAGAACGACGAGGAACACGATGAGTATTCAAAATTTCTTGCAGATAAATTTGGATAAATAATTTTGCCGGCAGAGATTTATTTTCCGACCAAAATCCCTGCGCATAAATGCTAACGTCTACGAATACTCCCTACTATTGATACAGTAATTCCTCTTTTTTTCCTGATTTTCCGTCGCTGCGCAGGAGAGTGGGAATTTTGCCCGCTCGACGACACCCTGAAGTCGCAGGTAAGCCCCTCCCCCATCACTCCCTTCCCGCCAACGCAAAGCCGGAATCAAATTTCTCGCACAATCTCATTCGAGGCGGACCCACGGTCGCAACTGCGAGATTACTCGGACGATGGCGAGGCTGCAGTCGAGAAACTCGTGAATAATATTCATCGAGACGATTGGATCCAATTCGAGGACTACGATGGCATCGCTGTTCATTCCCGATACGACTCCGAGTCGAAGCGAGAAATTTACAAACTCCAGGTCAGGAGATCGCAAAATCGACCTGGCAGACTTTCATTTTTTTTTTTAAAAACATTTATTAAATTCTTATCACAACCGGCCTTCACTTCGCAGACGGTACTGGACTTCGACTTGGAATGGGCATTCAGGCAGACCTGGCACACCGTGAATGACTCCCCCAAATGGGACTCGGACGTCCTCAGCTCCAACATTCTTCTGGTAACCTGCTGAACCTCTGCCATTACACATATTACATTACAGCTTACAGGGGCAGTAATAGGTATACAATGAACGATACTGTGGATTTCAGCTAGAATCCGTAGGTCTGTTCCTCCCCTTTGCTCTAAAACTCTGGTCCGTAGCTAATCTAAATCTAAATCAAATTCAAATCTATATATACTCGTATACGCAGTTAATCATGCATATTCCTGGCCAAAACTTTTTAAATATTAATTTTAGGTTACATTCAAATATAGATTTAGTTATAATAGTGAGACAGACCCCAGGCTGGGACGATAGAGTTACAATAATCACTAATAGTACGGGATATTGCTCACACGTCAGATGCAACGTGGGCTTCAGACTCATTTCTAAGGGAGGCATTTCCTAGAGAAGACCTTTTCTTATTTTCTTTCTTTTTTTTTTTTACCGCGTCATGGACTATGGACTCTCAGTAAACGTCTTTCGTGAGACGGTGGGGATTCATTTCCGCCAACGTTAGCCTAGATTTAAACCCATAGTTGCTGTGGCACTAAACCACGTGGAGAAGAGACGCAGTTGGCCTGATTCCTTTCCCGTTTTCCGTTTTTCGTAATTGGCTCTCTTTTAAAACTGGGTTCCAATGAAAATTTTGCTTGCATTGAAAAGTATGACAATTCCGAAGCTCGCCATTTTTTTGTTTATGGAGACGATCGTATGGCTTGACAGGACGTGAGCGAGATGAAGTGCCGGGTGTTCCATGCCGTCACTCGGCCTCGGGCCTTTGGGGTCGTGTCCAGTCGGGATTTCGTGTCCCTCGAGTACGTTAAGAGAGTCGGGGAGACGTACTATTGGTCCGTATCCAGTACCACGTGGCCGGACTTACCGCCCGGTCGAGACGTCGTCAGGTGCGTCCGTTTCGAGCGTTCTCACTTTTCGAGGGGATACCGTGGAAAAACGCAGCACCGTTTCAGAGCCCACCTGAATCCGGGAGGGGGAGTCGTCTTTTCGCGCCACGAGGAAGACGAGGGGAAGACCCTGTATCGGCTGATTCCCATGATGGAATTCAACGTTCCCTTCCTTCCGCGGGGGATCATGGACAGGCTGCTGCTCGCCAGGCAGCGAGACTTCATCGTCAGACTCCGGGACAGACTCTCCTTCCTCCACTCCCTCTCGTGAATCCGTTTCCTCTCGCCGTCTGGCCTTAGCGTGAAGCCGCTGTTCGCGACCGGTGGGGGGTCTCTCCCCGAAGAAGTTAAGCGTGTGAATTTCTTTCGTCGCGAAGATGCTTGTGACGCGATGTAACGAAATTACGCGTGCCATCATTTGGGAAAAGTCTTCGAGACGGTGTCCTCCACTCTCGCCCCCGTAGACTTTCGATAGATAGTTGCTAAATTTTCCCTTTTATCTCATCTCGATAAACGGGGGCGAGAGCGCACAGGGGTGACTTTCCAAACGTTCATTTCGTGACTGATAGCCGTGGTGGCTGCCTCAACCCTTTAAAATGGGGGGTGAGGTCAACTCCCAGTTTCACTTTCCCACCTCGTGTAAGACGGATACTGAAAATGACACGGAGTGGATAGAAACTTTAGTCCCTCATGAATTCAGAAATCTGTGTAATCTTATGAAGCAATCATATGCTGATGGTATAAAATACATAAATTAGAAGGTCATACAGCTAAATATAAATTGCATCTGAACGAACTGCTTCCGAAGGAACAGACACCACGTAACACGGTGCTGTGGCATATTTTCTTTAGATCAATTTCGTTTGTCCGAAATAGATAGATTCTGGAGACGGTGAATCCCAGCACGACCGGCCGCGATTCCATGTCCGATTGTTCCTTCAAAATCGACGAGTTCAAACATGTTTAAGTGGTTCTTCTGGGGTAAACACCCCAGTTTTTTGGCCACGCTGATACTTCCTCCTATAGGAAGTGGACACGCAGTGCGCACACAGGGAAACACTAGTAATAGGTCCTCGTAGGGGAAGATGTTGATAGAATCCTTGAAAAGTGCCAGATTAAATAATTATGCTGGATTCAAGCATCACTGGCCAACAACTGGAGACCGGCCAGAAACCGGGGTTATATATCAGTATCCCTATCAGTATAACCCCATATCAGTATCCATCTGGCACAGGGAGAGATAGTCAAACTGGGAGTTGACCTTGCCTCGAGGGGAGGCAAGGTCAACTTCCTTTCAAAGGTCGAGGCGGATATGGGTATCAGTCGCGGAAAGTCGCCCCTGTGCACTTTCTGTAGGTCAAAGATGTAGGTAGGTCAAAGATTAAATCACATGTGATTCTTGTCGATTGGAATGTGACGGCGAGATTCCACTGGGGCGATAGTGGAAGTCACCCTAGGGATTTAGGGACAGAAAAAGGGAAAAACCTGCTCTTTTTAGAATATTCATTTTGAAAAATCAATTTTGTAAGTGAATACACCGTTCGCATTTTCATTTAAGCGAATAAAAATCCACTCGATCGTGGGACTTGATTCGAGTCCAGGCCTTATCCTAGAGGCTGAAAGGAAACCCGATGAAATGATCGAATTCACGACGTTAGGAAATTCCGAGAACTTATGCATATGCCCCGAAGTCTTTTGAATTTGATGCAAAATTCAGGAGATGCTTCATCATACCCGACACCAAAGAATCGGAAACTAAAGCCGAGTCGATACTCGTGCTGTGCGGCATGCTGGATACCGTAAAACTGCAAAATTCTATTCGGCACGTGCAGGTGCTCGACTGCAATATTGTCATACCGCATTAAAAATAGCTGTCCGGCAGCAGCAGCATGCTCCTGCACGCCATGCCGTATTAACGAGAACCAAATCCTTGTTTTGAGAGTACGTTGGAACATGCAGTACAGCAGATACGGCGCTGTCGCCCGTTAAGGGCTGTGCACCAGCAGGCTGTACCGTAGAAATGCGAACTAGGCCTAAAAATGCCTCGCTCGATGGGCTTTGGATTTATCTAATAAATGCATGCCTGTATAGACGATTGCGAGTGACCGGCGGATCGAGCGACCGACGCTAATTCTAACCACGTTCTAGAAACGGCGAGAGGCTGAAACTTGGAACACGGATAGCTGTTAAAATTGCTGGCCAGAAAAATGCCAACTTTGGAGGTACGTGTCCTTGGGGAACATTTTAGGGGGAAGACTCATTTCGTCGGCCTTGGCCTGAATCACGGATGGACGCTTAGGTTAATATCACTCTCGTACATTTTTCTTCCTTCGAGGAAGCGGGAAGGAAAACGAATAACTGTTGAATTACGTACGACAGAAAAAGTGGGACCTTGAAGGTACGTGCCCCGAGGGGACTGATTTAGCAGGTGTATATCTAACTCCAGGACAGACGCTCAGCCCTACACCGATCTCGAACCGATTCGCATTCAGGAACTTTTCGCCTATCTGACGAGAGAATCCTTAGCATGCGACACGAGGCCTTTCCGCCTTTGCCTTTCGTGGACCACCTGGTCCATGAAGGACATTCGTTCGTGCGTGCCGGCACGCTTGACATGAATGTAGCGACAAAACTCTCCATACAGTAAACACAGTCTACAAAGATCTATTGCGTTAAAACGCTGACGTAATGAGCGTATGTGTCTGCTATTATATATTTTTGCCCATTTGTATGCGAAGAAGAGTTTGTCGACCGTATGCAGGAATTTAACTCTCTATAGGAGCACAAAACGACGCGCTGTGAATTTTAACCTGGGGATCCTCATGCTAGAAGTCATATGACGTCACCATGAATATCCTCTGAAACGATTTCATTTTTAATGTGGGAGCGCCGAAATGCGAGAATTGCCAAACCCATCGACCAAGGAGTTTGACCGCATCATAAGGTGTGAGCTTCTAAAAATGATGCCCTTAATGCATTAATAGTTTTCTTTGATTATAGAGCGCGTCAATTGCGAATTTGTTTGCCCGAAGGGTAAACTCGCTAATAGAAAAAATTAACGCCACGATGACTACGTTCTCCCGATAGAGAGTAACATCATTGTTTGATGTAGTATAAGAGGAAATTTTGCAGAGTAAACGTTGAGAATTACTGCCTGATGTGTTGCATTAGACGAAGCTACTCGAACTCGAGTCAAAGCAGCTCTAGCGCTTAGGTATAGTACATAAATTAACTTTAGAAAATAGCTATAGAAGAGTCTTCAAGTTCCTAAAGCACGGGAGTATTCTTAAGAGAAATTGTGGACGATTCCATTGGCGTACCTCACTTTTTGCACAGGCGTAACACTATTTCCCTCAAATCGTGCCCAATAGGACAAAGGGACTGGAAACAGTTAACTTTTTTTTTACATATATTTTATTAATGAATACATTTATGAGACTCTCGTTTCGAAGCAGGGGATCCACCCAGAATTTTTAGGAGCGAGATGATGAAGCACTTTGGTTAGTCGCAACAAGCGAGACTCTCTCGACGTCATTCAACTCGTGATATCGGCTTGCATTTCACGAAGAGCCCAATTTATAGGATCTGTGATTTGGTCCTCGGGATGACCCTTCCTTCCCTGCGCATGTCTCAATTTAGTGCAATCTTCGACTCTAAAGTAATAGACTTACGAACCATGCAGTCACCTGTAGTAGCAGACGCAGCAGCCATGATCGCCCGAGGCCCCGATAGCCCTCTGAGTAAAAACTGGAGAAAACTGTCTCCTTTCGCATATCCGCTAACGTTAGCCTAGATTTAAACCCATAGTTGCTGTGGCACTAAACCACGTGGAGAAGAGACGCAGTTGGCCTGATTCCTTTCCCGTTTTCCGTTTTTCGTAATTGGCTCTCTTTTAAAACTGGGTTCCAATGAAAATTTTGCTTGCATTGAAAAGTATGACAATTCCGAAGCTCGCCNCTTGTTTCCCCCCCCCCCCCCCCCCCCCCCCCAGGAAGAAGGGCAATGCCCGAAAGCTTTTATTCTGCTTTTCAGCTCCCTTTTCTTCGTCATTGTTTTCATTTCGTTCTCTTATTATACGCTTTTTATGCCCTTTACTTTTCTGATCCCATCTCTCTTAACCTCGGAACTGCTGCAAGCGCGTGAAACTCGTTAGTTTCTCTCCTCGTTAGCTAAAACGTATTAACAAGCGCAGCCCAGAATTGGCAGCTCGTAGACGATCCCTTTCGAGATCGAGAGAGAATTTCACTCTGGCCAGGATTTCACTCTGGCAAGAGGCCTCTGGTACAGAAAAGCCACTGTCAACACATGTTAGCGCGCATACCAATCGACACCTGGCGAAGATAAATTTTTCGAAACTGATTACGAGAACCCTCCCATTAGATTGTTCGAGTCCCGTCAGACGATGATTCACCGTCCGGCAACATGTGTCGACTCCAGGTCGAGAGGGGATCCCTCCTGCCTGCTTCTTCCCTTGGCCCTCTGCACTCCCCCCTTTATTCCATCCTCCCATCGCCACTCCGACGTCAATGCCTTTCGATTCGCATCGATACATTAAATAAAAACAAGTCGCAGGGGGAAAAAGGAGATCTTCCGCTCTCGGTGTTCCGGGAAATAATGGCACACATATGAATGTTTGATTCGGTGCATTTTAAATTGGTCCAAAACTGATCTCCAACTGCTCAGATGTCACACATGTTGCGTATTTGTTGGGAGTTTTCATTGCAGTTGGTATCACTGTTCCCCCAGCTTGCAAAGTCCTTTGTGAATGAAAATGAGAGCACGTACGGACACAGTGCTAATATTTGTGCAACATTTTTTTAGTCGAGAGTTTGTGCATATACGAGAATATTCTGTGCGAACCACATCCGGCCAGAGGTCACATTTTTGTACGTGTGTTTTTTTTTTGGCTTATATTTCTCTATGAATTTCTAAACTTTATTTTTTATATTTTTACGATGGGAATATACATCTTAGCACCTGTAATTTTTTTCCCCGCTTTAAAAACGTTAATCTCAGAAGAGTTTAAGGAAATGAGCGACCATGAAACCAACAACTTACCATACTCCTCCGCAAGCTCATTTTTTATTTCTCACTCCATCCTTCACTTCCGACGCAAAGGGTTGATGATAAAAAAAAAAGAGAACCGAAAGACCTCGTCACCCTCGCAGGACAGTGACCCCACCGAGTCGCAATCGTCGCGAATTTCCGAGCGCCGGCCCCCGTCCTCCCACTCGCCACGCCTCGCCCCGAGCGACTGCCGCCTCCTCTGCC